CCCGCCTCCTCGACAAGGTGCTACAGGAGGAGCTTTATGAAAACCTCATGGTTGTTTCTCATCGTTGTGCTAATGTTTTTGCTCTTTGCTCCGTAGTTGGTGGGAGATTTTCTGGAGGTCGAATGCATCAACCCCACTTTCATCTGTGATCATCCTCAAATCATGAGTCCTTTGGCAAAATGGTATGAAGTAAATAGATTTTCATGGTAGGTTTAAATTATTTGTGCAACTCTGAACGTGGTCATTTTCTCTGTTTTAGGCACAGATCAGAAAAAGGTCTAACTGAGCGTTTTGAGCTCTTTGTCATGAAGAAGGAAATCTGCAACGCATACACTGAATTGAATGATCCAATCAGACAGAGAGAGTTGTTTGAGCAGCAAGCCAAGGTCTGTAAAGACGCATTATCCTGCTATAGAAGCATTTCCACTCTACTTTTTGCACCATACTGATGGTTTAAGGCGGCTCTCTTTAGGCAAAAGCTGAGGGTGACGATGAGGCCATGTTCATTGATGAGACATTCTGCACAGCACTGGAATACGGTCTGCCTCCAACTGCTGGTTGGGGGATGGGAATCGACCGTCTCACTATGTTCCTCACTGACTCCAACAACATCAAGGTAACATTGTCGTTATAATCCTTATACAAGCCGACTGGTGAAACATTTTTTAATTTCTGCAAAGCAGATTTTATACAACCTGAAAATGCTCTCCAGAGTCTATTTAAAAATGCTTAAATATTTAACTATAACACACACAAGATACTCTTGGTAGTAATGTAATCTCAGTTTAAAAAATAGCAATATTGTCAATTGTGATTTCATTTTATAAATAGTTAATTACTCTTAACTTGAAGTACATCTCTATTTCATTATCATTGCTTGATGAAAATCTTTTTTTGTAAAATCTTTATTTTTATGCCGTTCATGAAACGTGTTTTTATTTTTATTTTTTACACAGGCAAATAGAAAATGTTCATAATACTAAATAGAACAGGTGTAATGTAGATTTTGTATATCACAGGCATATAGAAATCTGGCTCTTGTTGCCCTAACAATATGGAATGCAATAAATAAAACTGCAAAGCAGGAAATCAATCCAGATCATCATGGATGTCTGAGCATTGAAGTAAAATGAGTGGATCAGGTTTAAAAGAGGAAGTAGGGCAGTAGCAATGAGGAAACGGGAAGGAAAGCTGACTTGAAAAACAACCTGCATAAAAAAATAAACAAATGAACATAAGAGCAATGCTCTAAAGAATGCATCAATTGCACTCCTCTCATTCCATGTTTCATTAATGTCTGTAAATGTCACGTGTCAAAGAGGCATATAAAAAGCACTTGTATAAAGAATAGCACCCAATGTAAAGTCCTACTCATTTGTGGTGTTGTTGCTTTGTGACTTTTAAAAATGGAAATTGAGTCCAGGAACATTTCTAACTGATAGGAAATGGCCATTATAGTGTGAGACTGTTTGGAAAGGCAGCTGTCTTCTTGGCTCTAATTCTATTAGATCAAACATGAGAATCCTTTATCTACTCTCATTTATGCTAAAATGTATCCTATTTGAAAAAAACTTTATCAGCCTTTTTGTTTAATGTAGAGGGCTATCAGTTTAGCCAAATGGCCCACAAAAGGATTTGTTAGTGAAAGTCAAATATTATGTAACTTGCAATGGGTAAAGAGAAGAGGCCGGCAGTTCATGCTTTTCTTTAAATTCTATTTTATAATGGTTGATGATTGATTAAAAAAAATATACCATTATTGCCCCTTTTCCATCGAAAGCCCTGGGATTTAAAGCCCCAGAATTTGTATATGGAATCCTGGATAACTCCTTATTCACTCGCCCATTAAGCAGCACATTGAGCCTGAGAGAAACTGCATTACATCTTTAGTCCAGGGGGTGGCAGTACTAACACAGCTGGTTCTCTCCTTTCATCTAATGCTAACATGCTACATGTAAATCCCAAAGCTTAAGACGTTTGACATTTTACTTTTTGGTCAAAACATAACTAAAGAGTTATTAAGGAGTTGCTTTTTAACTGCTTGATTCATTTAAAATGACCACTATTACCACTATTATAATAACCAGGTATGTCTCTTATATCCACAGCACAAACGGAAAGCTTTCTTGGTCTTTTTGTATTATATTAAAGTTCAAAGCTTAACTTGCTTAACTGGCAGACTGATTGGGCTATTGGAGGGACTCCCTCACTCTATAAAGGCATATTTAAAATGTAAAATCATAATCTTGATACATTACATCGGTAAAGTTTTGTGGTGCACTTAAAAACATCTTAAAACAAGTTTTTGTGGTAAAACAATTGACGGGTAATGACCAACAGGTTAACGTCAGGGTTACAGTTAGCTGAAGATCCTGTTTTACATCCTGGCTGAGTAGGCAGCCCAAGCCTTTAGTTTTACATACAAATGATCCCAAACATCATCAGAGGAAGGATCTTCATCAAAGTGTAATACTTGGTCTTTTACAGGAGGTGTTGTTGTTCCCAGCCATGAAGCCAGATGACAACAAGAAGGCTGAAGGCCCTCAAACATCTACCTAAGGCCATGACCTCTGGTCTCTCCAGCTGTCGCATATCTGCAGGGGTTCCTGTCAAGTCCAAGTCTTGAATGGATATGCAGATTTTGTTTTATCTGTGTTGGTTTGTTAAGAATTGGAGTTGATTGGTCATTAAGGGAAATTATTATTTCAATGGCATATGGCTAGCTGGTATTACTCTTGTTTTTATTATATCTGCTCATCATACCGACTTTCTCCTCCGTATTTTGAAAGGTTTTAGTGGTCTCTGTTATCCAGAGGGTAAATATTTCATCCAGAAATTATGTGAATATGACTTGATCCACTGTCATGTGCAAACCTGGGGGTGGTTACTCCATACATCTGAGTTACTGAGGGAGTCTTTCATTCTGAAAACCAAATTAATAAATTGGATTTACACCTAAGCAACTACTCAAAACTGGTGTTTGAAGCATTTTTTTTGTAAATTCATGTCATTTTTAACCAATCTGCTTGTTTCCTTGTTTAGGGTTTTCATGTTGGTTCCTCAGATTTCATAGTAATCTTCAGAGAAAATGAAATAACAATAGATTTGAATAAAATACACATTTTTGTTCCTCAACTAAGATGTTTGTTACCAAAAGAATAAATGTCTTGACTAAATAAAATCCATCTTCTCAGATTTTATTTAAGAAGTGAATGAAAGGGAAATGCATGGGAAAATCTAAAACTCACTATTTTAATTTCACTGTGTTATTATTAATTTATGACAAAAACAAGTGAAGTCCAGTGGTTACTATCCAGGATGAAGTTTGTCGAAGGACACAGAATAATGCTATTAAAACGTTTTTATCCCTTATAAAGATTTATGTTCAGATCAGAAAAATACAAATACAACCTGAGTAAATGCAAGATGTAGTTTTTAAATAACCTTATTACATTTTAACCCATGACAATAATTAAGGGCTTGAAGGAATACTGGATAGCTTCTTTGCAGAAACTTTTCAATTTAACTGCAATCAAGGGTTTTCAAGCATGAAGATATTTTTAAAAAGGCCACAGCACCTTAAACAGATTTCAGTTCAGACTGACTAGGCTACTACAATAACATCTTTTCATTTTTGTAATTTAGAAGTGGGGTTTTCCACTGCTTTTTCACTGAAATAAAGGTCACAATTCTTTTAAAGAATTGTTGTAGGAGAAGGTGAAATTATTAATGAAGAAATGTTCTGCTAGAGAAGCAAAGCAGTCCCTTACTTTCCTGCACATTGCTACCATCCTGTTTCACAGGTGTTGGTATGTTAAATTTTCTTAACGATTTGATTATATATTACAAACATTTACTCAGGTTATGTCTAATATAAAACAACCATTTTAACTAGATGGATGACAGGTGCAAATGCACAGAAAACTGGGACGAGCTGCACAAATAGGAGTGGCGTCCTAGTGGTTCTGGCATAGAGCTTAGAATCCTGAGGTTCTGAGTTCAAGCTTCCCTCTGGGTCCCTGAGCAAGACTCTTAACCCCATGCTGCTCCCCGGGCGCCGCACAGTGGCAGCCCACTGCTCCCTAAGAGGATGGGTTAAATGCAGAGGTAAATTTTTCCAATGTGAGATCAATAATTTTCAATTATTACAAACACAAAAAACATGCGACAAAAAAAAAAAAACGGTGCACCTTTACACCCGTAGGCCGCTGTAGAAATATTTACTATGGAAGGAAAAATACACATCTATATTATTACCAGTGGCAGTTAAAATATTGTAATGTCATTCAATATTATATGGATATGAAAAAAATCTAAAGGAACACTGTGTGTTGATGGAGATATGTGCTGTATTTTTCAGTAGAGAGGGCTAATGAGCAGATTGGGAACAGGTGAGCAGAGAGCAGAACAGAAAGGGAGCTAGGGAAAAAGGAGAGCACAAGACTTAAAATAACTAGAAAACACAACGAAATAGGAATTAAACCACTAAGACTTTAAAAACATGGAGCAAAGTAAAAGTAAACACTCAAAAGAAATCATAACAGAACCAAGACTAAGAAAGTAACTAAGAAAAAAACAAAGAACACAAGATAACAATTAAACCATAAAAAAACTCTAAAACAAACAGCAAAGCAAAACTGAACATCCAAAAGAAAAAACATAACAGAATCAGAAACCTAACAGGTCCTCTAACCTCAACTCAACCCTGCCAAATTCAGATAAATACATGGATTACACAATATTACAAATCTGTAATTATACAAATATATACTTACTTTGTAAGAAAATCAATAACTCAATCAATCAGTCAATTAACCAATCACTTTAAAACAATCCTTTGATCATAAGCTTCCTCTGACCTTTGCCCCCCTGGTCTTTCCTCCTCCACTGCTGTCCATGCGGGAGCGCGCCCCATCCCACTGTTGCGCGCTCCCGCGGCCGAGTGTTTTGTGTAAGTGTGTGTGTGGTGGGGGCGGGGGGGTGCATGTGTGTGTTGTGGGTTAAACGCTGCTGCTGCGGTGCAGAGTGAATGAAGATGGCGATGAGAGCAGCGCTGCGGTGTCTCTCTGGAAACTTTCCTCCCAGGCTGTCCAGACTCTCGCCCCCAGCGCTGGTTCCAGCCACTCGGCTGCTCTACGGGAACAGGAGCGGCTGCTGGCGGACTTTCAGCACCACTTCGGTCCACTGCAAAGGTAAAGAAAAGCAAAGCAAAACAAGCTCCAGTACCAGGGAGCAGGGATGGACCCAACTCTCCATGCGGACAGACAGCTTATTTTAATCAGCTACCAAAACAGGAAAATAAATAATGATGTCAGTGTTTGTGGAACGCAGAAATACAAGACCATCTAGGTATTTGATTACTTTACTTTTTTTATTATTATTATTTATCCCGTGACTATAAGCACGTGTTGCATATGCCTTATGTCATTAACCACGAGCTTCCAATTAGGCTGTTGAGTGCAAACCCATGTGCACCAATATGCAAACATCTCCATGCTGGAGTTATGCCTTATGAAGGCAGAATAAGGTATTTGCCTTGATTTACTTGTATCACATGATTTTATTCATGCTTCAGCATCTAGCACCATCCCAGAATCTGGTTTAAACCTGTATGTTTCTGCATGATCTGATGCAGGCACTGGAAATTGTTGAGGCATAAAAAGCCTGCTTGGGGCAGTGTAGGGCTGACAGCATGGGCTTGGCAATACAATGCTTCAGCGCACTGTGAATAAGGACTGTGGACACAAGTTGTTTTTGCATCTGCAGAGACCTTTTACTAACTGTATATACTATACTATATATAGATAGATAGATAGATAGATAGATAGATAGATAGATAGATAGATAGATAGATAGATAGATAGATAGATAGATAGATAGATAGATAGA